AAAGATTCTATCAACAAAATACCGAACAACACAGGAAGCATTAAAGGAAGATGGAAAAATACACAGAATCACTGTACCAAAAAAAATTGGTTGTTGTTCAACCATTTCAGTTAGTATATGCTCAAGAAGTGATGTTATTGAAGGAAGAAATCCAAGCTGCACAGAAGGTATTGGCAAAAAACAAGGCTCCAGGAATTGATGGAATACCAATTGAGATATTTCAACAAATGCATGCAGCACTGGAAGTGCTCACTTGTCTATGCTAAGAAATTTGGAAGACTGTTACCTGGCCAACTGACTAGAATGTCTATATGCCTACAAGGAAGAATGTGCCCAGTCTAAAAAAAAAGGTGGTCTAACAGAATGCAGAAATTATTGAACAGTATCATTAATATCATATGCAATCAATATCATTTGCTGAAGATATTATTAAAAAATGGTTGCAGCAGTACATAGGCTCACTCCCCTCAAAAAACTCACTGCCGTCAAGTGAGATCCAGCTCACAGTGAGACCTCCTAGGGTTTCCGAGGCAGTATCACTATGAAAGTAGATTGCCTAACCTTCCCTCTAAGGAGTGGCTGGTGAGTTTGAATTGCCAGCCTTCTGGTTAGCAGCCAAATGCCTTAGGCACTACGCCACCAGAGGAGTCAAAATTAACTCAATGACACCTAACAACACCACCACCAGAGGCAAGAGGGAGGGGGAAGGGAGAGTTAATGGTAATAGAAATATCTCATTGATTAAGGGTAGGGTTGCACAGTGATTATTGTAATTGCTGTCAGTAAGCTGTACACCTGAATTGGCAAAAGGTATGTGCCAGACATATTTAGAACAATGACAAGACAAAAAGAAAAAAAAAGAGTAGCTGCTTAGGCTGCTTATGTTCAACCAAAGACCTCATAGGATTTGGTTCTCTGGTTTGGAGGTTTAGGGTCATGGTTTCATGGGACATCCCAGTTAAGCCCATTTCAGTGGTTTACTGTCTCTGTTCTACCTCCTAGATTGATGGATAGTATCTGAGGTCTTAAAAAGCTTGCAAGCAGCCATCCAAGGTACAATAATTGGTCTCTATTCTCCTGGAACAACAGAGGAAGAAGGAAAGTCAGGAATAAGAGGACCACATGGAACGTGTGGCTAATATCCTTCATAAGCAACTGTTTCCTTTGCTAGGAGACCAGAAGAACTGGATGGTGCCCTGCTACCATGACTGAATATTTTGATCAAAGATTGTATAGAAGAATCCTGATTCAAAGTGGGAAAATGCAGAACAGAATTCCAAATTCTCATGGACTGCAGGCTTTCTGGAGCCATGGAGGCTGGATACACCCCTGAAACTGCTGCCCTGAGATTATCTTTAAACCTTAAACCCAAAATATCTCCTGAAATCTTCTGAAAACCAAATAATAGTTTAGGTTAGCTAGTAAAAAACATCTGCCTTGAGCATTAAGTGCTTTTAAGAACTATGTATATGGGATCAAATTGACAACAGCAACTTGAAAGATTATATAGGAACCTTGTTAATGTTGTTGTTGTTATGTGCCGTCAAGTCAGACCCGACTCACAGCGACCCCTCCTTGGGTTTCCGAGGCAGTATCGCTATGGAAGTAGATTGTCCATCTTCCTTCCGAGGAGTGGCTGGTGGGTTTGAACCACCAGCCTTCTGGTTAGCAGTCAAGTGCCTTAGGCACTATGGTACCAGAGCTCCTGTTAGGAGCTGTGAATTTATGTTAATGGGGGAGGAAAAACTCAGAAAAGGAGTTGAGAATGGTTGCCCAACTCTAAGAATGTAATTAATGTCACTAAATGGTACATGTAGAAACAGCTGAATTGATGTATGCCTCGCTGTATATGTATATTCTCAACAATAAGATTACTGCCAAGAAACACTATTGAGTAATTCTACTCTGTAACACATGGGGTCACCATAAATCAGAATTGACTCAAGAGCTATGAGGTTTATTTTTTAAATGATGCTAAATAGCCATGTGCTGCCAATACTGTTTCAGTATAATTTTTCACCTCTCTTTTTGTTTTCCATTTTTTCATGAGTTCCTGTTAGGATCTGGGGTTTCACATATCCTCTATACTCCTGGGTTCTCAAGTTCAATGCCCTGACCACTTCTAAAAAAGTTTATTGCCTTTCACCAGGGGAACAAAAATCAAGGCTCTGGGCTGAAACTAGCTCTGTTAGCTGTTCTAGACTGCCTTTATGAGAAAAAGGAAGTACACAGACCATGCAGGATGGCTGGCACACATGTCCACCTAACATGGCTGCTCATGGGGTTCAGGCAGAGCAGTTCATGGTCCACAACCTACATCCACCTTAATAGTGGACATATAGACATATGGCATATAGACATATGGCCGATAGCCAGTCATGGCTACCTCATTGTCCTTTATTGGGATTGACTCCCCAGCTCTAAGGAGATAAACAGAGAATTAAGTAAGAGCATCCAGTCTTCTTTCTTACTGGAAAAAAACAACAAACAGGGTTCTATAAATCAACATCATCTAGGAAAAGAACATTGGATTTAGAGTCAGCAAACCTCATTTCTAATCTCAGCCCTGCCCATTAGAAGCTATGGGACACTGAAAAATTTACCTAACCTCTACTGAATCTCAAATTCCTCATCTGTAAAATAAGGCTGGCAAAATTCACCCCACAAGGCAACTATGCGAATTTAACAAAGAACATGAAAGAGTTTGGAACAGAGCAGGAGCTTAAATGTGGAAGTGGAATGTCAACAATCTTCTCTGTGAAACGCCCATCCAAACTGCCCATTTAATTTAGTTCAAATATTCATCCATTCATTCATTCACTCAGTCATTCATGTACCACATACCAAGAACCTTGTATATATGACCTACCACTCATCTGTTAACCTATGTACTATGGTAGCTTGTGTTTTGCTGGAAGCTAAGCCATCAGCATTTCAAACACCAGCAGTGTCACCCATGGTGGGCAGGTTTCATAGAAGCTTCCTGACTAAGCAGAGTAGGAAGAATGGCCTGGTCATCTACTTCCAGAACTCAGCCGATGAAAACCCGATGGATCACAACAGAACACTATCCTATATAGCGCTGGAAGATGATCCCCCTACGTTGGAAGGTACCCAAAAAGCACAGTGGCTACAACAATGGACTCGAGTACACCAGTGATTATGAAGATGGTGCAGGACTAGGCTACGTGGGGTCACTATGAGTCGGAGGTGACTTGGTGTCAACTAATAACTACTGTCTCTGATATACTGCCAATATGGGGATGAACAAGAGGTCTGGTTTTGTTTTGGTTATTGTTGTTTATACATTTCCGCTGTGTCAGAAATAGTTCCCAAAGTTGACTATAGGCAAGGGCTTAGGATCTCAGGCTGCTTTTGTGTCAGTTCATATAGTAAACATATATTTGGGGGTCCCATCCCATAGAATCTAATTCCAACTTACAGCTACCCTATAGGCCAGGGTAGAACTTCTCCATAGGGTTTTTAGGGTTGTAAATATTTACAGAAGCAGACTGCCACATCTTTCTTTCATGGAGTGCCTGGTGAGTTTGAACCATTGACCTCTCTGTTAGCAGCTGAACTGCACTGCAACACCAGAACTCTTTATTCAGAATTAAAATATGGTCTCAGATTGGCATATCTGTCCTTAGGAATGGCAATGAATACAGGACCTTTTGGAAATGCCACAATGACTTAAAGTAGTCATCTTTCAACTTACAATTACCCAGGATTTGTACTTTAAGGACAGACAGCTATAGGATAGTGGCTATACGACAGGGCTAGGTAAGGAGACTAGTTTATAAAACATGGTAATTGTAACAGAAATTTTAAAATTTTAGTCTTGAGTTAATGTATTCTTTGTAGGAAAGGGCTCTTTTAAACATCACTGCCAAGTTGGAGGCAGAGAAAATGAATTTTGTGCTTGTATCTTAGAGTTCTCAGGTAAAAAACATAGAAAGGCTGGGGCCATGACTTGTAGTGATACCAGCCCCATGTGGGACCAGGCTTATGCTTCTCGTTTTGCCTCCTGTGGTGCAGTTTAAGGACAATTTCTAACCTAAAGATCGGCAGTTCAAACCCACCCAGCAATGCTGTGAAAAAGGCTTGGTGATCTTTTTCTGTAAAGATTACAGCCACTGAAAATCCTATGGAGTAGTTCTACTTTGTAACACATGGGGTTACTATGAGTTCAAATTGACTCAGTGGCAATGGGTTTGGTTTTTTGTTTTCTGGGGCAGTTTAAGACAGAGCGATCTGCAAGGCTTTCATTTCCCAAATGTTGGCTTCTCTTGTCTTTTCTCAAAACAGCTTTCCCAAGCGGCTTAAAGCCCAACAGCACATCTTCCATGGAGGGAGCTCTTGAAAGTACAGTTCAAATCAGGTGAGACCTGGGATCAAAAGCCATAGCTAGCTGCTTTTGGCCCTTAGGATGAAGTCTTAAGTTCATACCATTGACTACAGGTGTAGTGTGTTCTGCTTGTTTGATTTCCAGGTGCTTGGCATGTAACACAGCTAATCGATTTTTGACTGATGAATGCATGGGTGACATGACTCTCTAGGAAGTTGCCCCTGGTTACATCACCAGCCTTGGTCCCCAACTCCCCAACATGCAACTGTTTCTTTAAATCCTCTAACTGCACCATACTGTTTCCAACTTATGCCCTTTTTATCTTACAGCCCAATGTCTGGGAGTCTCCTAGTCACTCTTCACAGTCCAGCTTGTGCCTCACCTCCTCCTAGAAGCCCACCCTGACTCCCTAAGCAATGCTAGACGTCTCTTCTCTGTGCTTTGACTGTTGGTTGCCTGTCTTCACTGGACTGTAAGCCTCTGGAGGCCAACAGCAGTGCCAGGCACAGATTAAGTAAGTTGCAAATATCTCCTGAATACATGAATGCATGAATACATGAATGCAGGAGCAAAGCCATGTGATGGGGCCCTGACCATGCAGCCCTGCGCCTGGACAGTTTAAGCCATACCCAGACATGTGGGAGAGACTTACATATTCCACGTCTTTGGATGGATCCCCAATACTGCCGTTGGTGGTTGGGGCGGTGGTCTCTGCACCCTCTGGCTTTTCCTGTTGCTTCCCTTCCTCCTTGGGCAAGCCGCCCTGCCCTGGGAGGGCCACTTCTCCCACACCGAGGGCCTCGGTCTTATATTTCTTGACAAATTCCTCCATCACTTTCAACTCATTCTCCAAAAGTCCGCGGCAGCGCGAGGGGTCCTGGTCATAAATGGGCAGCTGATGCATGAGCTGGCGCCGGCGGTAATAGGCACCCTCGGTCCCGGTCACTGGCTGCTTCTCCTTTGGGATGAGCTCCATGTACTGGAGGCCCTGAGGAGAAGGAAGAGGAAGAAGATAATGTGAGGTGGGCCTGGCTCGACTGGTCTTTGGACTCAACCTGTCGAGTGGGGCCAGCGTGAAAACACTGCAATATTTCCTAATATTACCTACCACCTTTAAGATACATAGTTTTTATATTTAACTTAAAGTAACATTTTCCCCCAAATTATCAAAGCAATACATGCCACTGTCTCTACTAAGAAAACAGATTAAGAGAAGGAATTAAAAGGAAAAAAATATACATTGTTTACTTTGTGTTCTGTATGTGCCATGTTGTCGAAAATATTCTGTATCTTGATCTTGATGAGAGTTAAAATTCATCAAGGTATGCATGCAAGTTTCATGGACTTCATGTATGTACTGAATTTAAAAAGTATTTTAAAAATTATGCTTCAATACACAGTAACAGCTTGTCAACAGTTTTGTGTTTAACCTTTCAGACCTTTTGCAATTATATTTATTAAAATTTGTTTATTTTCCATTTGTGTGTGTGTGTGTGTGTGTGTGAGTCTGCCATTTAGAAGGATCCTCTCAATTTTATTAGAAGGTCCTCGATAGAATGGGGCAAAGATGTGGAACAAAACTCAAAATCATAAAACAACAACAACAACAACAACAATGAAACAAGCTTATTGATCAGACAGAGACTGGTAGAACCCCTGAGGCTATGGCCCTGTGTTACAACTTCAGACCTGGAACCTAACTCAATCCATAGCTGAATTTTCAGTCACACAAGAGGTCTACAAGGTGAACGATAACCCTAGAAAGGTAGACACGTCTTAGAAATCACTTATTCCATATTGTTGTTGTTGTTGTTATGTGCCATCGAGTCAGCCCCGACTCATAGTGACCCCTTCTTGGGTTTCCGAGGCAGTATCACTACGGAAGTAGGATTGCCCAACCTTCCTTCCGAGGAGTGGCTGGTGGGTTTGAACCGCCAGCCTTCTGGTTAGCATTCAAGTGCTTTAGCCACTATGCTACCAGAGCTCCATATTAAAGGGCAGCATTTGCTCAAGGTCAAAGTTCAGAAGGCAGGAAGGGTGAGGAGAGGAGGAATGGAAACAGAAACACGAGGAAGTGGGAGGAGTGATGTTACATTGAGGGGATTGGAATCAATGACATGAAACAAAACGTGTGAATTGTTGAATGGAAAACTGATTTGTTCTATAAACATTCTATAAACTTGTTCTATAAATCGCAATATAAGGTTTAGAAAGAGAAGGATTCCTTGATCAGTGGGCTACATTTCTCTAATGATTGTGATAGCCCAAGTTCACAGAGTAGGACAGAGAATAATTTGGTGCACACAAAAAAAGAAACCCGTTTGAATGTACAAATATATGCTCTGTTCATCGACTAGAAAGATCTCTGCTTGTTAATACATATTATTTTACTGCTTATTCTCCAAACTTTCATTTTTGGATGGCACTGGGAAGAGGAAAGAAAATGCAAAAATCCATCACCATCAAATTCATTCCATCTCATGACAACCCCACGCGTAACAGAGTAGAACTGCTTCATAAGGTTTACTTGACTGTGATCTTCACAGAAGCAGGTCTCCACATCCTTCTTCCATGGTGCTGCTGGGTGGATTCCAAATGCCAAAAGAGTCTCTTTACTTGTGGCTAAGGTTTTCCCTAAGAATTTGAAGCCAAGAACATTTTGTTTTGTTTTCTGACTTGCAAGTCATGGTTGCTGTTGTCATGTGCCATCGAGTTGGACCCGACTCATAGCGACCCCTCCCTGGGTTTTCAAGGCAGTATCCCTATGGAAGTAGATTGCCCAACCTTCCTTCTGAGGGGCGTCTGGGGGGTCTGAACCTCCAGCCTTCTGGTTAGCAGTCAAGTGCCTTAGGTACTACGCTACTAGAGCTCCCGCAAGTCATGGTATTAACTACTACTAAACAAGTTTGCCTCTTTCACCAAACCAGAGTTGCTACTTTGAAACCTCTTCTTTAGCATCACTTGCTGGACAGAGACCACTGGGTAAGCCTATTAAAATACAATGACAGAAGTAATACAAACTAGCTGACCTCATGTGGGACCGTCTCCTCACTGGCCCAACAATGCTGTACTTATTTCTGCCTGGCATCACAGAAATACCCTCTCTGAAAGGAAAAGCCCAATCTCATCTTTCTTGTACTTATAAGAAGTACCATATGATTCGGCCACTCCCTATTCCTTAACTAGAGTCCCTGGGTGGTGCTAACAGTTAGTGCACTTGGCTGCTAACCAAAAGGTTGGAGGCTCAAGTCTACCCAGAGGCCCCTCAGAAGAAAGGCCAGGTGATCTACTTCTGAAAAATCAGCCACTGAAAACCCTGTGGAGCATAATTCTACTGTGGCACACCCGGGGTCACCAGGAGTAGGAGTTGACATGATGGCAACTGGACTGATTTTTATTCTTTAATCATTTCTAGGATGTTAGATGTAAGCCATCCATTCCTTGAGGACAGGTTATCTCCTTTCTACATTAGTAGCAAGAGCAAAGGCTCTGGAATAAGCCTGTGCTCACTGAAATCCTGTAGTATGTAATGCTAATTGTTATTAGCTGTCAGAGATGCCCATGCACCCCAGGCACAATGTAACAGAATACTGCCTGGTCCAGTGTCATCTCCCATGATTGATTGTAGATCACATGGTTGTGATCCTTAGGGTGATTTTTTTCCCCCCAAAAATGAGGATACCAGTCTATTCCTAGGGTGATTTCTGGAAGTAGACCTCCAGGCCTTTCTTCCTAGTCTACCTTAGTGTTCTGGTTACCTCGTGCCACTCTGACAAGAATATACCACAAATGGGATGGCCTTAACAAACAGGAGTTTTATTCTCTCACAGTTTGGGAGGTTAGAAGTCTGAGTTTAAAGTGCCAGGCTCTAGGGGCTTTGTGAAAGCCCCTCGACCTTGGGCTTCAGCTCTGCCTCCTGTTCTCAGCCCATTGGAACTTCAGGCATCTCTTCACTCATGCAGCTACTGGGTACTGAGGCTAACAAGCCCAAGGTCGACAAATAAAATGGCACAGTCCTGATGTTACCAACCCACACAGCAGGCCATTCATTCAAGTTCATTGAAAGTTCCAAGGTCAGCAAAACATGGCAGGCTGCTGAACAATGACATGGCTACATGCAGGATTCAAGCATGCCATATGCTAGAGACCATTCCCTAAGGCTTCTCTTTATATATAGGAAGCAAAACACAGCCCTAAGGCAGCTACTCAGCTGCTCAGAGTAGATTCCACCATGGGGTTGATTACCAGTCTCATCATGGGGAATACTATATCCAGCTGCCCAGACACTCAACCAGGCCTAAGCAAGTTGACACACAAACTGAACTACAACACTTATATGGAAGATCTGCTGAAACCTGTTCAATATCACAGCAACACACACATCACCAGTGACAAATGTGTGGTGGCTGTGCATGAGATATACTGGGTGAGAATTGAACCTAGGTCTCCTGCATGAAAGGTAAAAATTCTACCACTGAACGCCCCCCACCCCCATATATTGTTGTTGTTAGGTGCCACTGTATCAGCTCTAACTCATAGTGACCCTATGTACAACAGAACAAAACACTGCCTCACAATATTTGCTATACCTGGAAGCCTCACAATATTTGCTATATCTGAAAGCCTCACAATATTTGCTATACCTGAGCCCATAGTTGCAGCCACCGTGTTAATCCATTTCATTGAAGGCCTTCCCATTTTCAATGACCCTCCACTTTACCAACCATGATATTCTTCTACAGGGAATGGTCCCTTATGACAACATGACCAAAGTAGGTGAGACAAAGTCTGGCCATTCTGACTTCCAAGGAGCATTCTGACTGTACTTCTTCCAGGACAGATTTGTCCTAAGAGTATACACAATAATATTACACTTTGCCCCCCATATACTATATAGTAGGTAGTATAATATATAGTAATACAACGTAGGATTGTTATTAAAAGCCCAGGAACTGAACAGAGGAGCAGTCAGCCGCAGGGATCCAGGTGAGGAGACAGAACCCAGGCACACCCAAAGCAGCAGGATGGGAGAGTGGGAGAAAGGGGATTAAAAGGCCAGGAACCTCGACAGAGGAGGAGTCAGCTGCAGGAACCCAGGTGAGGGTGGTATGAGAGGTTTCCAACAGGGAGACAAATCTGTCTGTTGGTTTGTCCTACCGTGGTGACGTGTTGATGTGAGTTTTGAGACTGAGCCACTGGTGTTTCAAACCCAGCAGGATGCATATAGTGCACAGGTATCAGCCCAGCTTACAGACTGAGACAGACTAGGAAGAAGGAAGAGGCTGTCCACTTCTCAAAGAATTGGCCAGGGAAAACCTTATGAACGGCAAAGAAACACTGCTTGATATGTTACCGTGCAACTTTATGAATAGTCTGGTTAGGTTAGAAGCCTCTCAAAATAGGACTGGAAAAAGAGCTGCATCATCTGAGTAAACACAGCCTTACTCATATGGATAAGGTAAAGCTCTCAAGACCTCCATTTGCTAATGTGGCACCACTCAAATTGAAGAGAAACAGCTGCAGACATCTATTAATCATCGGAACATGGAATGTATGAAATATGAATCTAGGAAAACTGGAAGTTGTCAAAAATGAAATGGAATGCATAAAGATTGATATCCTTGGCATTAGTGAGCTGAAATGGATTGATTTTGGCCACTTTGAATCGGACAACCACGTGATCTACTATGCTGGGAATGACAGTTTGAAGACGAATGGCGAGGCATTCATCATCACAAAGGATGTTTCAAGATCTGTCCTGAAGTACAATGCTGTCAGTGATAGGATAATATCCATA